GGGGGGGGGCGTTGATGTGAGAGACACACATTGGTGGCCTCCCACACTCACCCCAACCAGGGCTGGGGCTGGGGCTGGGGCTCGAACCTGCAACAGAGGTAGGTGCCCTTTACTGCAATTGAACCCAAAACCCTTCAGCCTGTGGGCTGATGCTCTAACCACTGAGTCAAACTGGGGAGGGCAAATATGCAGTCTGTCTTCTCCACCGGAAGCCCTTACTCTCCTGCCAGCCTTTAAATCCTGCCCTCTGGACCCCATCTCCTAAATATCTCTTGAAGGAGACCACTTCTTTCCACTCGCTGCCGGCCTCCCTGGAACCAAGGTTGGCGATCTTTTTCTTAAAGGGCCAGACTGTAAATATTTTAGGCTTTTCAGCTCAAGAGGCAACCTGGAGGGTATTACATAGGCACATAACCATTTAAAATGCAATCATTTAAAAATGTAAAAACCATTCTTACTTCATGGACTGTGCAAATACAAAAACAATCCGGGGAGGGTGGGGAGGAAGGGGGTCAATGGGGGGATGGATAGATAAATAAATAAATAAATAAATAAATAAATAAATAAATAAATAAATAAATAAATAAATAAATACTGGAATAAAAGATTGTGGAAAAAAAACAAACAAAACAATCAGTGGACTGGATTTGGCCCATGGGCCATAATTTGGTAACCCCTGATCTAGACTGTGATGGCTTCCTGCCATTGATCTATTGCTCAACACCCCAAACACAGTAGATGCCTTCACAGCTGCCATGGGGCCCTTTAACACACAGATTGGACCTTGTCACCGCCCTACCTAAAGCCTTCTTGGGACTCCCTTTTGCCCCCAGGATAAGGGATAAGGTAAAACCTCCCACTCCTGCACCAGTGGGCTCATATCTCTTTTCTCAGCTGTTTTTCCTCTAGTCCTCCAGGCCCAGCGTGACTTTGACCTCTGTGCTGCTCCTGACATTCCCAGGCTCCTGGGCTACAGGTCTGCAAGGCTGCTGGCAGGCATAGCCAGTCAGACACGCTGCTGCTCACAAAGCTCACACAAGGCAAGCCAAGTATGAGGTCCCTTATTTCCTGTGATCGATAGGCAGCAGACTGCCTGGCTCTGGGGCCCCAGTGCCCTTTGTCCAGGAGCCAGCACCAACAGTCTGCCCTGGGCATAGGCCTTCCTGCCCATGCTTTTCCCACAGCCTCCTTATCCACACCCCCTCCCATACCCTCTGCCCTCTGCCCTCTCCGGGCCTCCTCCTCTCTTTTGCTGCATCAGTAGGAGGAGCCCAGGACTCTAGGACCTTTGGCATTTATATCACTTAGGACTCTACAACCTTGGGCATTTAAAGCACTTAGTTTCTTGGCTCATCTGTGTAATGGGGATAACCAAGGATATTTAAAATGTTTAACAACCTTTAGGACCCAAGACAAAGACCAACATAAAGGATGTCAGGGGCAAGGTACTGAAGTGCCTGGGGAGTGAATCCTTCAGCTGCACAGTTGGGAGGAGGTTCTGAGAAAGTACCTGGTCACAGTGGTGGTGGCGTGTGTATGTGTGTGATGCCTGTTGACCAACCTGTACAGAATATGTCCATATTTTAACACCAGGATAGTGGTGTCTGCATACAGGCTGAACACTAGCCTTGGGGGTAGCAGTTTCCACCAGGTCTGGTGCCAGGAGAACTGAAGACTCCACATACTCCCAGTTGCTCTCTCTTTCCAATCCTCAGTCCTGGGCCCTCCTCAAAAATGTCCCCTTCAGCAGGGCTGAAGTTTGGGCAAGTGTGGCCTCCTGGCCACAATAGATGTGTTCGGTGCGGGGCATGGGGGAGGTAAGGGACCCTCCTGTGTAATTCCAGCCCAGGGGCCAGGGAGGGCTGTGCTGTGCAGATTAAGCACATCTCTTCATTTCATCCCACAATAGCCCTGTCAGGTCAGTATTGTTATACTCATTCTGCAGATGATGAATGAAATAGAAGCCTGGAGAGGTCAGGCATGGGTCCACAAAGGTCACACAGCTAGTCAGTTGCACAATTAGAGTTCGACCCAGGTTTGCCTGGTACCCCGTTCTCTCCCCAGTCCACATTCAGCCTCCACTTTCTCTCTCCATTCTGTTCTTTCCCTGTTCCCCTTTTTCCCTACCCCTTCAGTCTCCCCCTCTCTGAAGGAAGGAAGAAAATCCATCCCCTCTGAGCAGCCTGAGGAGCCCTTTCAGGAAACTGCCTAGATTTTCCCCCACACCACAGGCAGCCTGAGACAGGTGTTCTGTCCTAGTACAAAGGTGGAACCCACAGCCCAGCAAAGCTAAGTAACCTGCCCAAAGGCACAAGTGATGGCTTCTACCCCACCCTACCCCCACACCCTCCAAAAGTCTCTGGGCAGGGACTCTGAGCACAGCAAAGCCCTGGTTAAGACCGAAGTCTTTCCACCATCAATGTACTGTGTGCACCTAAAGTAGCAGATGCCCATCCCCCGTCCCCAAGCCCAGCCTGCCTTACCCAAGGCCAAGAAGCAGAAGACCCACTGCAGGACAGAGAGGGTCTGCAGCCTGCGCTCCCATGACACGTGCAAGGGCGCAAACTCCACCATGCTGGCTCCTCTGTGGGCTCTGGAGGCTTCTCAGTACCACCGTGTGCAGAAGCACCCAAAGGTTTTTGTGGCTGGCCAGGTTGTATAAGCATTTGTGGGGGAGGAGGCCGCCCCGCCCAGCCCGGCCCAGAGGCCTCCTTGCCCCACCCCGCCGGAA